AGACTATTGGGAATTTTAAAATTTGACCTCCCGAATGCACCAACTAGATTCACTTTCCAATGGAACAAGATACTGAAGTTGAAAATCGAAGCATTATTTCGACTACTTATCGTGTGCACAGACTACGAAAGTAGTTACAAAATACCGAATTGGAATTTCATACGAAAAATGTGCAATTTTCGTATACGAACTACATTCGTATGGCGTACAAAATAGACCCCCTGGTCACCTCTGCACGTCCCCACAACCGGTCCCCCAGGTTGACGAGTGTCACGGGCGCGTTTGCTCGGACGCGTGACGACCTTGCCCAGCTGGCGAGGCCAGACCGAGACGGCCACGGTTGACGGCGACGAGCGGCGGCTATAGGGCGCGATGTCGTGCGCGTCGACGGTTGTGGACGGTGACGACTCTGCGACGGACGGCGAAGACCAATAGACACGCGGAGAGAGTGAACAGAGATTTTGTGCACAGTTTGCCGATGTGGGATTGCCGCGGGACGAAAAGGCGAGAGTCGTCGGATCCTTGACTCCGCGGTAATTTTCGTCCTGGCGTCGTCCCTTCAGCCGCGTCTTCGTCCAATGACCGCCGCCGGACCAGTTAACTAACCTAACTAGCCTGAGTTCCCTCGGGTCCGGCACCGCTCACGTCCGTGTTCCTGACACATATAATCTCTAGTCTACACCTACTCCGAGGACGGTGCGTCGCCACCCGACTGCGATTCCTCCTGAACTGCTGATGATTTTGTCGAACCGTCGTTTTCTTGGACCGTGTAGCCGAGTGGTGCCGTCTCGGGGGTCGGAGCTGCAGGCTCAGACTCCGCATCGCCACTCGGCAATTCACTGTGCAAGACAATTGACTCATCAAAATTTTCTTCGTTCTCGTCGTCCTTTCCGGTTGCGCCTTCTAGTGGAGCGTCGTCCGGAATCGAAGGGGTTTCTTCTGGCTCTGGCCCTGGGGACTGCACGTCGCCACTGGAAGTCGTATCCATACCAATGAAAGATAGAAGATCTGTTACTAATCGTATGAGGTTTTCGTCGTCGCTCTCATCTTCATAAACGCCTTCCATTATACCGATTACAATGACTTCAAGAATTTCGAGTAATGAGGCCTCGTTGCTGTTATTGTTGACAGTCATTTTTTATTTGCACGTAGATAGGTATATATGTCAGTTGTAATTGAGAATTTCTAGTGAGCTAAATACAAGTCTCCCAACACAGAGATCGATCAATTCTAAAATCTCCCAGGCGACGACTTGTATCTATATATTGTTATATATAGCCAGATAGTACGTTCATCGTTCATCGGCTCACAGCATTACCTTTTCGAGCCCGTTAATTTTTCTAAAGACTATTATAAATTATTATTATTATCATTATTATTGATATAGTATAGGTAGGTACCTAATATTTTGGTATTACGATTTGTATTACTCTGTGACTCGATGTATACTAAAAAGGCTTAGCCGCCCAGAATCTTAAAGTTAATTTGTTTGTAAAGTTAAATAATATATAACTGATAATATTACATTTGTGTCACCTTTTTGACTTAATCCTAATTGAATATTTTACACTTTTTGTGTGTTATTCATGACATTTTGATATTATCTTCAAGGCCGCAGTTGGAACAAATTTTCGAGAGGGGTTTAAAACTATATTATATATTTTCATGATATTATAAAAACCAACTAAAAAAGAAATTTATATATTATAATAATTATATAAATAATGTTTTTTTATAGATAACCTACCTACATGTGTGATAAAATGTGTATTTTAAATTAAATATTTTTATAGTGTAAAGTCTAATAGTTTTTTTGCGAAACAATCGTCATTTAGATTAATTTAAATTTGTCTATGTAAACATTGTAAACTAATATACACTCAAAAGAGCTAAAGCGTGTAAAGACTAAAGACCCTGTCACAGTATCACACACGCATCCGATCCGTCAGGGCATCCGTGTACTAGGAAATACGCGAACTTATTGTTTTTCAATGGATATTTTATTCATACTCATCCGAGCTGAATCCGGTCTGAGCTTTCTGAGATCACTCCGATGAACTTGATCTGAAGAGTTTCGTTAATAGTTTTATTTAATCTTTTCACGGTAGAAGATATACCTACGTCCTGGTGATGATGTCGTAACTGGTAATGTATCTCATAGTTTCAAAAGAAAATATATAATTGGAAAAATTCATAATTTAAAATTGGGAAGTTGACTTCTCCCAACTAGCACTTTGCTTTAGAAACTTAAAAATTTCACATATAGATATTTTGCTCGGAAATGTTCAGAATTCGCATATAGGTACCCTTGGCGTTTTACCAGAAGTCAGAAATCATAATTGTTTAGTGTAAGTATGTATTATCGTCATTTTAGAACTACCACTGAAAACCAAGGATAGGTATATGTAGATTCTGAGTATCCTTCCAAGTAAAATTTAGCAAATTAATTGCACAATATCTTTGCAGTTTTTAAGTTTCCTGGTCAAAGAGGGAGGAGGGAAACTTTACAGATATATTGTGACCGATATCTAATCTGCAGAACAAAAATTAAATTCAATTTTAATTTGTATTAAAAAATTCCTATATAATATATTAAACGGGCTAAAGTAGGTACCTATAGTAACCCTAGCGTACGCAGCGCAGCCTGTGGTCGTTTAATCGTGCGACTCGTTTCGGTACGTTTTATCGGACGCACCGTAGCTCCGCATGAATAAAAATATTTTGTGAATCCGTAACTCCGCATGCACCGTATCTCCGCACGGTCGAAAACACGAACGCACCGTATCTCCGCACGGTCGAAAAAACGAACGCACCGTTACTTAAAGTAGGTATACAGTATTTTTGAACTAATATAGTGTTACAACTTATTATAGACCATAATATTATGATAATGTCGAAAAATCGTGAAAAATTTGTTTAAATTTGTGTAAAATTATAATTTCAGCATAATATACGGGTTAACCGGCGAGTTTCCACTAATTAATATGCTCGCCGGAACCAGGCCGGCCAAAAGCCGGCCACGACAAATCAGCCTCACCGCAGTAACCCCGAATTGAACAGTAGGTACCTACCAAACAAAATCACAACATATAACATACGTAATTTATAAGTAAACTATAGCGTTACAACTTATTATAGACCAATTTGTTAATTTTCAGTAAAATTATAATATTTCAGCTTATACGATTGATTAACCGGCGAGTTTCCACTAACTATGCTCGCCGGAACTCTTGAAGCCTTCTCTTATGTCGCACTTCTCTGGACTGCCAACACCGTCACGCTCCTTACCCTCCGATCTGCAGTTTCACCGTCACATCGATCAGCAGCCTGCAATAGCTGTCTACAGTCCGAACCGCCCGCCCGAACGCCTTGCCGCTGCAGAACGAACACGAGCCGGTTGCACCGCCGCGGGCAGCGTTTCCGTGATCGTGGTCCTTTACAGGCAAAGGCTGATTTCCAAACTCGTCCACCTGCTGCTCCCTGATCCTTTCGGTTGCTGCCACCGCCACTTCATGTCGTATTCTTCGCCGTCGAGCTCCCGCACATCCTCGCTTGCTCCGTCCAGAGCACTGAACCGCAGTCGGCCGGATGTATAGTTGTAGTGCACTGCGCCGTCCTGGTCCGACAGCCCGTCACCTCAGAAGATCCTCTCGTCGTCTTTAGTGTGCAGTATGTCAGTAAAATGGACATTTCACACCAGCGTTTCTCCTCGACGGTTTGTTCGAACGTCCGGTCGATGCTGTGGTCGTTTCAGAAAAAAGCATTAAAAATAAAAAAGAATTTCATTGTTTTATATAAATAAAGAAAAATTTACTAATTAACATTGATTATATTTTTTATTTTTGTTCATAACCCATAATACTTATGATATTGTATAACTAAAATAACTAGTATAATTATAATACCAATTAGTTCAATATTAAATGTTAGAATTTGAGTGTAATGTACAATTTAAAATATGCATGCTAATCGTGTTCAATGTTAATGTAAATTAAATCAAATGTAAGTATTGATTATGATATTAATATATTATGTGTAAAAAATACTTACCTCGAAAAATGGTATTGTTGAAAACTAAAAATCACTCATTTAAAATTTAAAATGACAATGAATGTCTATGTCTAACACCAATTCGTAGTTAAATTATACAACAGTACCTACATAATTTTTTCAAGTACTTTTTTCAAAAGTTGGTTACTTAAAAAGTAGGTAGTTGAATACTTTTACAGTTAACTCAAGTACTTTACAAGATTCCTATGCGTCCATTTTACTTATGAGTTTTTGATGAGACAAAATTAGAAATAGTACTATAACAAATACCTTATGTAGTAAAAAAAAAAAAAACGGTGAAAAAGGTTTATTTCATATGCGAGGGGGGAAAGCTAAAGTAGGCAGGGGTAAAGCGTGAAAGTTTAAAATAGTAAAGTTTCGGGTTCAGCGACAGTCGTGCAAATGCATGCTAATGACGTACTAATGTTTGATAAAAAAAAATTGTAAAAAAGTGATTATTAAACTTGTGGGGGGCTGGGGTAACGTTACGCCAGCCCCCCCCATAGTTTTTTTATGAATAACTTGTAAAAAAATGTCGTGCAAATTCTAAAAAAAGTCGTGAAAATGCATACTAATGGCGTGCTAATTCAAAGTAAAAGTAAAGTCAATCTTAACTCCCTCAAATTCGGCGAACAGGGATGTAGCCACTGCGAAGACAACCGTCAGCCGTCAAAGCACAACGCCATGACGACGGCCCACAGGCAGGGGCGTGCTCACGGGGGGGATGAGGGTGTCATATCCCCCCCATGAACTTTTTTTTTATGCATTTACTTAAGTTTCTTGCTGATTAAGTTTAAGCTGATCATTTTATTAGTATATATATACAAAAAAAACAACCATCAATTGTAGAGACTGTTGACACTGATAGGTACCTATGTAAACAAAACACTTGATTATAATATTAATTTAAATTAATTAATATTGAACACGAATTTAATAATATATTCCTAATGGCAGAGGTAATCAAAGTCAATTTACAAATTGTATATTTAATTTTTATCAAACTATTTCTAAACACGATATAATGTAATTTAGGAAATGGCTAAAGTTATCAGCTTAAATCTATTAGTGAAAAGAATAACAAAAAGACAAACCAATCGTGCAAATCCTTTTACAGATTCGGATAATAATAAAATATCAGAAATAAACGTTGAACGTTATTATCGAACTACAATATTCATTCCATATGTAGATTTTTTTATTGTTCAATTAGAAGAAAGATTTATTGCACACAAAAAATTTTTAAAGGTTTTTCTTTTAGTAGTATTTAGTACTAATTATAATTTTTACTAATTTGTAAATGTATATAGGATTTGAGACTATTTTTTCAAAAAATCAGTTTTTAAATACAAGTGAAATTGAATCCTTTAAAAATCTGGCAGATTTTTATTGACCACACATAAATAAAGACAACAGTTTAGCTGAACTAAAAATCTGACGAAAAAAATTATTGGAAAACTCTGAAGTCATTAAAACTTGCCTAGATACTCTCCAAACCTGCAGTTCCTCTATTTATACAAAGTTGAATAAGCTATTAAAAATTTTATATGTCCTACCCGTTTCAACATCCACCCCAGAAAGAACATTTTCAACATTAAAGAGGGTGAAGACATACACAAGAAACTCAATGCTTGAAGTAAAATACTCTTCAACTTATTAGTTTAACCGAAATTGAATATATACTTACATTTTATTTTAGGAACGTTTGAATGGATTAACGCTATTGGTAGTTCATAAAGATAATATAATCGTTACTCCATATGAAGTCTTAGATGAAATGGCTTAGAAACCAAGAAAACTTGAATTTGTAATTTAGGTCTTTAGACCCGTAATTTTAACATATGTCCGAATATATATAACATTAATATATTTTGAATTTTATGTTTAGCTATATAGAATATAGTTTTAAAGTTTTCAGTGATAATTTTAGAATAACAAGTAGGTAGGTATGTATATAATATAATATATCTAGACGACTAGACACGCGGTAGCGTGTCAAGCCAAGTTCTAGCTAACAGAACTGGCGAGCAGCACCGTGTGTAATATTACACGAACCATTTGGAACCACTTTTGACCCCCTCATAACTCAAAAACTATTCCACATAAACATGTCAAATTTAGCTCATAAATTGAGACTAACGATATACATATGTGCTCTAAATTTCATAAACACACTTCAAACCGTTATTTAGATATTAAAGTCCGAAAATCGTCATTTTTATCACTGGCTGACCTATAGATCAAAATTCTAACCCAGTTCCAGATGACCTAGAAAGTTCAAATTTGGCATACAGATAGGTAGTTAGGTAAATACAAAGGAAAAAATCAGAAACTTGAAAATTTTAAATTTTAAATTTTTTAATCAATTGATTTTATTACAATTTTGCAATTATTTTATCTATTATGTTTAATTTTTCAATTAATTAATGAATTGCCTCTAATTTAATGTAATTTTGACTTAAATAACCTTTCCCGTGTCGCCGCTCCAAAAATACGACTAGCCAAATATATGTCGATATTGTCGACCCGCGCGCAGCAACATACTTTTTTTTCTATCTATGTATGTAATTAATATTATTTTTTTTAAATATTACAATTAAAATAATTAAATAATTATTAAAAAAATAAAAATTTAAAAATTTAAAACCTTAGATGGAGTACATCTTATCAATTTAGATCCAAGTCAAATCAAGGCACAAGAGATCTCTATTGTAGAGTACAACCACCTGCGCACGCTATACCGCCCCGACTTGGCCAAATTAAATATAAATAGAAAACGCGTAAAAAAAATTCCAGATACTGAATGGGCAATTCACTCAAACATTTTAAAAGTTCAGGAAAATATAAATAATAACACAAAAAAAAAAAATTTAACCCGTAAACGTAGGAAAATACAATAGTTTAATAAAAACCATTTGGAAATAATTTTATTATGAATAAATAGCTATTAAAAATTTACATACAAAAAGTAATGATATCCCAACAAAACATATATGTAAAATGATAGCCAAGTTCAATTTTGTAATATATGCTTTGATTGTTGACTTCAACGACAAAAGAAGTGAGATCTAAATGGATGCCAAGTTCAATGGTCAGTCCTGAAATTTATTTATAACAACATGAAATATAATTTCTTCTTATCACTTAGGATAATGTTTTGAAGCCTAAGGTCTGACTTGGCTAGTTTCTATATATGAATTATGTTATAGCCTTCGCAAGTTCTAAAAAGTTGGGAGTTCTTTTTTATTCTTCTAAAAATTTGGCTTGCTATTAGAAACTAGCTATCGAACATAGTGCTCTTCCATGACTGTTTTAGTAGGTACTTGATGATAATTCGTAAAATATGGAAACTAGCCAAGTCAGACCTTAGGCTTCAAAACATTATCCTAAGTGATAAGAAGAAATTATACTTCATGTTGTTATAAATAAATTTCAGGACGACCATTGAACTTGGCATCCATTTAGATCTCACTTCTTTTGTCGTTGAAGTCAACAATCAAAGCATATATTACATAATTGAACTTGGCTATCATTTGACATATATGTTTTGTTGGGATATCAACCTACTTCTAAAATACCAACGTATACACCTATAAGAACATTTTGTGTCTATGATAATCAACAAAACAAAATACGGTTCATCCCCCCCCCCCACCCCATTGGAAAAAAGCTGAGCACGCTCCTGCCCACAGGTTCCTGAATTTTCGTTTTAAGTCATCTAAAACTTTCAACTTAAAACTACCTAATGCAACGGCTAAATAGACTATTTAGCCATGCCTAATACGTTATACGATATAAACACAACGAGCGGTAATAATCAATCAATAGTGAAATGTTATTTGTATACAGATATAGGTCGTCAAGCGTTCAAGCAAACACGATATAGCGACACTCGTCAATTCACGGGACAGGTCGGAGAACGTGCAGAGGTGACCAGTGGCCAGCAACACTGCATTTTCACACCAATCGCCATCTCGCATCCTCCCCCCTTGTTTATTGTGTCTATCCTGTCGGTAGTATTTTTTTTTTTAATTTAAGTTATTTTAAATTCCAAATTGTTAAATTGTTCACTTATTTTCAGCCCTTTTCTTATAATAAACATATTTTGATGTGAACAAAAAAATATTGTTTCTTTTTAAGATAGCTGGCTAATTTAAAAAGGGTTAAATTTGTTTTTTTTATTTATCAGATTTTAGTACTGTTGGCCTATTTTTAAGACTATTTTTCGGGTTGCCATTCGTACCACCACATGACATCGAAAATGTATTCGTTGAACTTGTATCTATATAATATGTATCCAAATATAGATTATAGGATGGTTATTTTCTTATTATCTATATATTGCATACCTACTAATACGTAGAAGCTGATTGTTTATTTCCACCAACAATGTTGGGCTCAAGAGCTAAGAAAATCCTCGGTAATACTACAATAACTAGGGCTCGGATTTATATGTAAATACATATTTTCTCTGCGACCTGATAAACTAATTTCGGCAAGTGATAAATTCGTTTCACAAGATTTTTGATAAAATGAGCTATATTTGATTTTACATATTTTGTCATAAATACATGTTTTTACATATTTCACAATTGTTTTCACATATTTAGACAATTTTACTGTTTTAGCGTCTTTTCTTCAGACTTGGCTAAATAAGGGTTCCTCGGTGACAAACGACCGTCGAACTCAACCTGTTATATTTTCAATTATTTCTAGATACGATTTTATCGATTGAAATATCAGATATCTTATCGTAATGTATTACGATTAACACATTTTTAAACACGTTGGACACGAACGAGTGAACACTGCGATGAGTGTGTAGTTTTTAATGGACATCGTAGTGTGAGTTTCGTTATATTTTACATGTTTATTACCAATAGGTTATGCCAAAAGTACAATCGTCTAAGACTTGCAAAGCAACAAAATATGTTTCTGAATATCCAAATGAACATTTACGAAGTGAAGGCCACGTTTTGTATTGTACCTACTGCTTGTAAAAAATCGATAGCAATTGATTATTTTTTTTTTTTTTGATAATACCTACATATTTTTAATTCTTTAGCACATATTTATGTACATATTTTTGTTGTATATAAATACATACTTTGGTTATATAAATATATATAAATCCGAGCCCTAATAATAACTATATACAGGGTGTAATAGAATAGACATTTTAAATAAACCTTTTGTTTTCATACATATTTTTTTATTGGTACAACATATAATATGTGATATTATTATAATTATTTTATACAAACTAGATTTTCATGAATAATATGCATGTATAATATAGGATTATATATCTTTGTTTACATTTGTATAAATATATAATATCATAGAACAATATAATATAATAAAGTGTGATACATGTAAGTATGTAATATTATGTATAATAACTAATAAATGTTATACGACTTGCGAGAAAAGTGTATTAGAGCCACGAGATGTGTTCAAGTAATCATTAATCAAGTGTTAATAAAAGGTGATAAACTGATAAGTGTTAACCGCATATCCACCGGTCCAACAGCCAATCAATAAAATCGCATTTCAGACAAGCTAGTGTGGCCGAACTCGTATATGGTCCTTAAAATACGATGCTGGGTAGACTTGGGAAGACACGGACTTGAGGACTTCCCATGTTCAGCGACCGGCCTCAGCCCGTTTTGTGGCGCAGCGGAAACTTCATACAGCTGACTGTTCGACTGTAATATTATTTAAAAATATTATTTCTACTTAATCGTAATAACTGCAATGTAATAATTGGGTATAAATGGGTTTGATATTATATTATAATATATATTAAGTACCTATATTATTAGTTTATAATAATTGAGATGTCATTTTCGTAGATATTGATCCGGACAAAATTATGCTGGCCCAGCGCTATGTCAAGATTTTTGGACGAAATTGTTATCGACTCTTTCAAACTGGACAATCTGATAAACGGTGACGTTACCGTTACTTCGCAGCCATCATGAGATGGACCAAAATATAAAATAATGTATGTCATCGGGTTGTCGGCTTGTGGATGATAAAATCCTGGAAGCTAGTGGAAAGGCAATAACCCCTAAAATCCTGTTACATCTTAACCTTAATAAAAAACAAGGAATGATTAAAAAATGGCAACGGAGTTATTGGCCTACAGATCTGAAAATGTGTTCTTGAACAGGTAACTCCTCAACGTAATATTATGCCCGGTCCAATAATAACTTTCCGTATTTACATCACAAAGATGCGCGACGACTGCTCACCAACGCATCGACATCCATCAAATACCTTTGGTAAGTTTCCAAACTGTACCGTTTATTCCTCCGGAATGCTAAAGAAAATTAATTGATTAGATAAATATTATAATATAACAATTTTTAAATATAGACGTTTTCAACTTACAGTTATGCAGATGGATGTCGACCGGTTTGGGAGCGACGTCTGTCACGGCATTGTTCTAATGATTTCGAACATAAATAATACATTATTATAATAATTATTGTCATGCACAGGTACGGTCAGGCATATTAAATTAATTAAGTAGGTAGGTACTATATTAATATAGTCTATTAATTATTTTTTTACTATGCTTTTAGACTTATAACTTACATTATTGGATCGGACATACAGTAACGTCGAGTTGAGGTACCTGTCCATAAACACATTTTCGATCTTCCGTAAGCCGGCACCAACTCCGTTGCACATTTTCCAACACTATAGGCATTAAAATATGAATTATTGTTGCACATAAATAAATAACAATTTATATTTAAGCTGAATGATGTACAAACC